TCCTTTGGTCTTTACAGAAATCTCAAACAGACCAAGAACTAGGTTTAAAAGCTGAGAATCTGGCTAAACTTTACCCAGAAGACTTATGTAAAAACGAATTTTCTGATGAAGTTCGGCATTTTTTTTCCGTAAGGAGAAATATTCTAGCCAGCGAAAAGCCTGTCAAACTTCTAAATGAAGTTTAAGCAAAGGGGCTGCATTCAATATTTCCGCAAGTGTGTGTTTCTCTTAGAATCTTTCTAACATTGCCCGTTTCAACATCTGAAGGAGAAAGATCTTTCAGCAAGTTAGCTATCATCAAAATTTTCTTCGTTTCACAATGGGCCAGGAGCGATTGTGCTACTTGATGATCCTTTCAATCGAATCAGATTTAGCCATTAACGTTAATTATGAAGAAGTTATTTCAAATTTTGCTGCTAAGAAACTTTTGTTTTTGCAAACCAAAATTAAATGTGATTTTAGGTTTTTTATGAAAGTAAACTATATTAATTTATTTGCTATTTTAAGACCTGAAGTATGATAGGGCATCCATTAAACTTTTGGACCCAGGCATCACAAAAGCTCTGGGCGGGCCCGCGTATAAGTACCGGTTTGTAATTTTTTTTTATTTAAAAGATTTTTTTTTAATGCAAACATTATAAATTTTTTTTGTCAAACTGTTTAATTTTGAATTTTTTTTTATTTCTTTTTAAACTTTTTAGATTCACTCTTTTGTATAATATTAGAACTTGTGAATTATATTTTTCTCTATTTAACGAAGGGGCTTGATGATCAGACATTTTGTCTTCTACTAAAAAATGCCTAGACCTTTCCGTTTTTGAACCTAACAAGTACGGTTAGCTAACAGACTTCGATTAACTCTTGCTTCACCAACAGAAAGATAATTGTTTAAACATGCCCGTATAATTTTGGATAAAGGGCACATTTAAATAATTAAAGACAGTCAGCAAATCTTACAAAGTCTTCACGAGTTTTATAGTATTGTCTATATAAATAACACCAATAGACGTCTGTTTAAGATTATTACTATCATATGCTAGCTAAAATTGAAAAATACTTGGTTTTATTGATTTTAGAATCTCGTCAAAAGCCTTACCAAAATACTCTGTAAGTTAATTTTATGTGGTTTCAGAAACGATATTAAATGATCTTATAAGATTGCGTTACATATATTCCAAAATTAAGTCGTTCGAAAAAGTTTCCTAAAACTTTACTTTTTGAGGACTCTCTTATATTATAGGAGAATCTCCTATACTGCATTATAGGAGAATCTCCTATATTGCATTATAGTTGATTCTACCATAGTCATAATATACATAGTCTGGCCAGTTTAAGAGCGCTATTGTTTATCTTATTGTTTTTTTTTAGAACCCAGTCTACTAATGAGTGCACACTTTTTGTAAACAAATGCGCATTAAGAAAAATATTTACAAGAAGATTATTGATTTATCCTTGATTTTTGCAAATGCCTTGTCTTAATTGTTACATATTTGGTTCTGGAACTTTTCGAAGAAGTATAAATGTTTTTCTATTGAAAATATTTTCTTCCGATGATGATGTTGATAACAAAGAATCAAGAAGAAAAGTTTTACAAATTATAAATAAAAATAAATCTTTAGTTATAATATTTTAAAACTAAAGATAAAATATGATATCAGATAACTTTTTTTTGATCGACAGATTTACTACCTTCAATAAATCAACCAGTTAAGAGCTTTTCATTGACAAATCCTTCTTTATGCAGAATATAGTAGTTTCTCATACTACTAAAGCTCAACTTAAAGAAACCAACTTTTTCTTTTGAAGCAGATGAAAGTCAAAATTTAAATATTTACATTAAAAAAGATCATTGTTTATTACAGTTGTGCCATATATATATATATATATATATATATATATATATATATATATATATATATATATATATATATATATATATATATATATATATATATATATATATATACATATATATATATATATATATATATATTTATATACATACATATGTATATATATGTATGTATATATAAATACATATAAATATATATAGGCTTATATATACATATGTATATATGTCTGTATATATATATATATATATATACGCATATATATATTCAAATATATACACACACACACACACACACACACACACACACACACACACACACACACACACACACACACACACACACACACACACACACACATATATATATATATATATATATATATATATATATATATATATATATATATATATATATATATTCAGTAGAGTCCCTTTGGACCCTGGATAACTTGGACCCTGGATAAGTCAGACTTTTATTAAGTTGGACAAACTTTCAATTCCCTTTGAATTCTTTATACATACTGAAAGCTTTGCTTAACTCGAACATTCGCTAAGTTGGACAAAATTTATATGCCTGTTTATTACATGTATATATATATATATATATATATATATATATATATATATATATATATATATATATATATATATATATATATATATATATATATATATATATATACATTTGTCATTATTATTTGTGAATAGAGTTTCGAATGCAATTTTAAATAAAGAAATGTATTTATTGTTGCGGTTATATCATACACTGCATTTAAAGAGGACTTTAAGAAAAACTTGAGGTTATTGGTAATTGGGATATCAAAAGCTGCATTGTCAATCTTTAAAAATATCCATAGAGGCTAAAAAGTGACCTATTAGGTTGAATTTGAGTAAAGGATAAGTGTTGCAAAGAAGTCTTGATATTATTTCAAAATTTTATAAATAAAATCCTGAGAAAATTATTAAACTGCTTTATTTGATTTTCACTTTATTATTGCATCTTTCAATCATACTGCAATACAGTTCAAATGCTAGAATGTTTTTAACAAATTTTTTGGCTATCAAAATAACCTCTATTGAATGTCTAATATTTATTTGATGGAGTTTAAAAACCCTTTTTAGATTTTTTTTTTCCAAACAAATTTGTTCTTTTTAATATAGAATTGATTTTATGCAAGTTTACAGCTCCTTTTTTATGCAAGTTTATAGCAAATTCGCAGTTTATAACAAATTTATAAAATAAGTTTATAACAAATTCGCAAAAGATGGTCTAGAAAATTAATAGTCACTTCTTTAAACATCTCGGTCAAATCAAAATAAAAACTATAAATTTTGGATAAAAAATCTTCAACTGCACTATAATTTTTATAACTTCTTTTTATTAACTTGAGTGATAGCTTTGTATTATCTTTTAAAAATATGTACTTTGAAAGCTCATCCCTGATATATGGAAGGCAGCAAGATCGTTTTTAAAAATAAGAATGTTTTTTAAAACAAAACTAATGAATCTCTTTGCAGAACACGTTGCAGCAATGATTGTTTGTAACAATAAGATTGTTTTTTTGAACAAAATTCATGAACTTATTTGTAGAACACGTTTGCTTAACATCGGTTTATGCATTCATTTGCTGTATTAAAGAAACTCTTTGAATGCTGCTTTGTTATGTAGCGTTTGAATATATGATCCGACTTACATTTAATCATACACTGGTGAAAGTAAATTTGGTTAAAACGTTTTTACTTCCAATTTTAACGAGAAAAGAACTGAAATTATTGATAAACTTGAGTTTACAAAAAAATATATCTGATTCTAGATCTAATATGAAGTAATCGAAGCACTGTTTATCTGTTGAGTTCGCCATTTTTTAGATTTTTGTGCACTTATTGGTAGTCTGAGCACGATAAATAAACGATTTTCAACATAAATTCAAAGTTTTAAATTTTATTGTTTAAAAACGATAGAATCTTGCGAAAACGGCCCAACTGGCCGGACTATCTGATATTATGACTATGATTCTACTGACAATAAAATCAACTTATAAAATCCTCTTTAATTAGAGCTTAAATTTTTTTCAAAAAAGTAAAGGTGCAATATTTTAATTGTCTACATTTATAGCAAACAAAAATAGAAATTGTTTATATAGTTTTATGGCAAAACTATTATTAATAGTTAAAGCTATTATTAATAGTATTGTTGCATTAAATAAGTGTTAATAGTTATAAGAGTAATACAACAATAAGCAGAGAAACAGATGTGTTTAAGTAAACATAGTTATAAAAAGCATATCTTTTTACAATAAATATAGTTTGTGAAAACATAGTTTAAAAGTGTATCTTAAACCTACCAAACCTTTTTATAAAAATGGTATAAAAACATTCATCAGGGCATATTTTTTCTAGCTAAGTTTAACAATAAAATTAACTGACGAGATATTTAAACTATTTGGTTTTGAAAACAAATCTTTTTTTACAACAATAAATGTTTTAAATATGAGAAGTATGAATAACAATTGGAACAGCTTTCTTTCAAAACATATCCGCCATAATTACCAACTTACTAAGAAAATATAAAGTCGGTTGGGTTATTTGAATATAAATGGGCATAAAAAGACTGGGAAATAAGTACATCTAGCCACGGGCTTCGAGTGTTGACGGCATACGACTTTACAATAAAAATATATTACTCAAAAAAAAGCAGTAATTTAGTCAGCCTATGCTGTAAAATCAGGTCTTTTTTGGTTTAGCCAGAGAGCTATTTTATACGATACAATGACCGATTTTTTTTACTGTTGATTATTCGCTTTTAAAAGCAGATTTTACACAGCAAATAAAAAATAAACTTATCGTTATTATAAGCGATTAATTTAACTTTGAAAATATGTTGTAAATACTATAAATTTTTTATTTCGTTGATTATTTTAAGGTGTAACCTTAGCCACAACGGCTATACCCTAGATCCGCGCCATATATATATATATATATATATATATATATATATATATATATATATATATATATATATATATATATATATATATATATATATATATATATATATATATATATATATATATATTAAAAAAGCACGCAAACTGTGCAAAAAATCATTTATTGCATCTAATTTCTTTTTTAAAACAAAAAAAGGTGAAAAAAAATAATATTATAAATCAATTCTGATTAAAAAAATTCACATTATTAAAATAATTTTACTCTTTAAGTACACAAAAATTCTCGATAAAGGTAAGTTCATACGAAAATTACGTCAAAGTTAATCAATAGTTTGATCAATGAACAACAGGCTGACACAAAACAATAGCGGACAAATGAACGAAGGACAATAAAAAACATTTTTACTAATGACTTAATTTCAATGAGATTATTAAATTGCGGAGCTTTTGGTTAAAAAAAACTATTTCTTTACAAGAAAAATAAGATTTTTTTAAAATAAAATTTTAATCAACGCAAAAACTAACTTTTCTCTTTAATAAATTATCATCTTTATTCTGATTATTTATTTTTTGTTTATATATTTATATATAAAAGTATTGTTTACAAAAAATGAAAAGAATTATAATGCGCATGCGTGATTTCAACACACCATTCATGTACAACATGAATAACGCGAAGTGACGTCAACTCATGACAAAATATCACTTCATATACGTCGTTAGATAGCGAAATGCGTATAGCAAAACAGCTTGCATACGTGACTCCATTACAAGTAAGTTGATATGTATCTAAAAAAAATTAAAAAATGAAATAAAATAATAATACAATATTTATTTAACTAATATTTTACGGAAGCATATTTCTCAGCTTTTGCATGAACCAAAATATTTTGAATATATTATTTAACTTTGTTACAACCTTAGGTTATTTAGTAGGACTTGAAGCCTATTGCTTAGGGTACCATGCACTAATTATGAGTCAATTTCTCTTACAGGGTGGCCACTTAAGAGAAATTGAAAATGAAATTCCATGACTCTCTTTTATGACAAACTACTAACCATTAAATTATTCTGTACTTGTCATGCACTAAGCATTTGCAACTTGGTCATTATAAAACATGCAAACCAAAAACTAATTGGTAGAAAGTTTTGAAATCTGAAAAAAACTTTTTTTCTTTTACTTCTCTGATAACTTTTAAAATATCTTTTTGAAAGATATTTTAAAAGTTACCAAAGAAGTTTAATTACTACAGTCATGATTTAAGTCAGCCACCCTGACTTAAATCATGACTGTAGTACTTAAAAATTCTGAACATAAAAAATTGTTACTACCATAATGCTTCAAACCAAATGATTTGAAATATTTTTAGTCTTCAAGGTAATCTTTTTCTCAAAACTGAATCTTACCTCTCGCACTATTTCCCAAAACTGATTCTTACCTCTCGCACTATTTCTCAAAACTGAATCTTACCCCTCGCATTATTTAATAAACCTATCTGAATAAAAGTAACTTTATAAAAATTTGAGGTCTGGATTAAAACTGTGTGGGTTTAATGTAAAACTTTTACGAATAAAAAAATGTTAAGTAAAAATCGAGCTCATTTTATAAGCTTTACTAAAGATTATTTGTTAAGATTATCAAAATATTAGCAAACATGCTTTGAATTAGATAAAACTTTAAGAAAGTAAACAAAAAACTAGGTAATAGTTATAGTAGTACATATTATTGTTATAAAATGTTATTAAAAAAAAAAAACACAATGGATTTAGTAAATACTATTGTTATTAAATTGTTATTAAAAAAAAACACATAATGGATTTAGATTTAGATAAACTGAAAGAATGTGAACTTATGTATTACAGGAACAAAGAGAAATTTGGTTACTTGTGTTTTACTACCTAAAACTATAACTATTACCTAAAACTATAACTATTACCTAAAACTATAACTATTACCTAAAACTATAACTATTACCTAAAACTATAACTATTACCTAAAACTATAACTATTACCTAAAACTATAACTATTACCTAAAACTATAACTATTACCTAAAACTATAACTATTACCTAAAACTATAACTATTACCTAAAACTATAACTATTACCTAAAACTATAACTATTACCTAAAACTATAACTATTACCTAAAACTATAACTATTACCTAAAACTATAACTATTACCTAAAACTATAACTATTACCTAAACTATAACTATTACCTAAAACTATAACTATTACCTAGTTTTTTGTTTACTCTCTTTAAGTTTTATCTAATTCAAAGTATGTTTGCTAATATTTTGATAAAATTTATACACATAATCATAAGCAGCTAACCAAAGAACAAAATTATAAAAAAAACACTTGCACAATTATAGAAAACGTGTTATAACAGTTTCAAAAAGTTACAACTTTTGAATAAAAATGAAAACAAAAATTGTTAAATGAAAATTTTTGTAGAAATGTGGGAATTAAATCCGCAGACATCTGCCATGTCATTTGCAAATAGCTAAACATACCTGTAACAAAGTATGGCAGAGAAGTGAAAAGGAAAAAAAAACCATGGAAAAAGTGAAATGGAAGAAAATGTGAATATGTCAATGGTTTCTAAGAAAATTTAAAAAGATTACAACTGCATGATTGTAAAACATTTTTAGATAAAGATAATTATTTTCATCGGTGTTAGTCCTGATCATACTTTTACATATTCATGTCATCTGCATTTCTTGATATAAAGACCAATATTCTATAAATCAATAGTCCCCGCTATTTCAAAAAGTTAATACTTTTAGATAAAAATATTATTTTTAATATTATTTGAAATCAGGGCCGAATTATCTATTTCTCAGGCCGAATTAGCTATATCTTAACCCGAGCACATTCTTTAAAAAGTTTGTTGTAAAATAAAAACAAGTTTATTGCAAACAAAAGCAATTGCATTTCTGTTAAATATAGAAAACTAAATGTTCTTTTTTGCTGCACCTCTTAGCTGCGAAGTATATGGTGATGTGATCTGCATTTAGATTTTTTTCAAATTGTGTTCAATGCAGAGAATAGCAAGATTTATTAGCTTTTTTTGACCCACTGTCTCCCTTGAAAAGCAACGCTCTTCTTCACAGGTTACATAAATTTAGTAAAGCAGCAGTTTTTAGCAAGTCCCTTTATCAAGATTCGTAAAATCACAATAGTATGTAATGTACAAGATAATCTGATATTTTTTCATTATTATTACTTATTTATTATGATTTACACCAAACAAGGCTGCATGCCACCGCTATTAAGTTGGGAGTAACTAAAAAACAAAGAATAGAGTTAAAGAGCTAGGAAATGGTTGACAGAAGACTTGAAAAGTTGTAGATTAGGAAAACAAGAAAACGGGAGATTCATGAAGTGGGATGAAGAACAAGGAGAGTTTCATGGGTGTGGGAAAAAAACTAGACAAATAAAAGTTTTTAGAGCATGCAGGGACAGATATAGTAAAAGAATGAGACTTTGCTAAATGACAAGTCAAGCAAGAACAAGTTTTGGTTGATAGAAATAGAGATGATAGCTCCTTTGAGCAGTGACTATGATAACATATTTAGAAAAGAGAAAGAAATTTTACAGTGATGAGAGGTTCAATCTTTCAACCATAATTACAATTCTTTTTTTGACCTTGTCTCAGGGTTGGCAAAAACCCGTTGTTTTTTTAAAAAAAACCCGGACCAGTGGGTTTTATTGGGTAAATTTGGGGTTTTTTGGGCTTTATTTTTATTTCCTCTCTGTAAAAAATTTTTGTATTTTTTGTTTAATGATATTGAAAATTAGTTTTATTTTCTATTTTAACTTTATTTAAAATATATTTTACATAGTGTTATTCATAATTTTAAACAAGAATTTTTCAAATTATTATGAAAAAGATTTTTAAATATAATTTAAAAGTGTAATAGAAAAAAAAATTACACTTTAAATCTATATGTATTGATTTATTTTAAATTTAAAAGTATTATTCTATATAAATAAAAATGCTAATGACAAATGGAAAAAAGAAGGCTAGAGAATGGGAGGTATTAACTGAAGTTTCAATTAAACTTTGAACTTGAAATTCAAATGAACAAACTTGTTTCTCCGCACAGCGACCTTGTTTATAAAGATTTGTGTTTGAGTGTTAAGGAGTTGAGAGAGAGTTGTAACCACAAAAAGGTAGCCTCCTCGACTGGAGTGGACTTCTCTGGCCATTAGTATTCATTTAAATTCACCTTGGGAGGTAAATAACCAAAAAGATTAAAAAATCTCAATTGATAAAAATATTTGAATAAAAATTGGAATAATGTATTTCCTTATAATGATTCAAATATTAGTAAACCTGCTTTGATAGCTGTTATTGTTGGTTATAATAGTTAATAATAATAGTTAATAAGATTTTGTTAAGTTATTATTAAATAGTTTTGAGAGAGTTGAAGAAAGTTCTGGAGAACATTTTTGTAAAAGTATGACAGGAATGTTGTCTGGACAATGAGCCAAAGTTTAATTGAGATATGAATTAAGCAACAGAAGCTGGAGTGATTCGAATGTCTAACAATGAGTTAATCTGTTTAACTCATATGGAAGAAAGACTATGGCCATAAGATTCAAGAGTTGAATTAGGAAAAAGTTCTTTGCTAAGAGTCCTTGGGGGAGGCAGTACCATGAATGAGATCAGTACCTTGAATGAGAGATGGAATGTTACACTTACCTTTGTTAATTTCGCTGTTGAAAATTTCCCCAAAGTCTCTAGAGCCTAACTTCTAAAATACGATACAAGATTTAGTAAACTGGAAATAATGTAGATTAGCATCAGTCAGCACCTTTTTACATTGATTTCTTGCAACAATAAATAGTCTATGGATGAATAGTTGTATTGGACATTCTATGTCCAATAAGATTAATCATCCATAGGTCCTATAGGACCATATTCCATAGCTTTATGTTATATATCTATACGCCTTTGGATCATGTAAGTGTGAAAAAATATTTTTTTAATATAACCACAATAGAATTTTCAAAAAATAAACTTTTTTTCAAGAGATTTTTATTTCAAACAAATTTGTTAAAAGTAAAATAATAAATAATAAGTAAAATTTTTATATAAGGCATGCTATCGAAAAAATCTGCCTAACTTTTGCGGTGTATTAAAGCTAGTTAACAGTCATTTTTTGAAATTTATTTTTTGTGTGTGGTAGTGTTTGTATATTAGAACATTTTGGCAGAAAAAAATAATTAAAAATATTATTTAGTTTCAAAATGTCAACCGAGCAAACAAAACAAAGATTTTTGATTGTGGACAAACACTTAAAAAATCTAACTTTATCCAATAGAAAGTTGGTGAAATCATTAAAAATATCAAGAAGAACTATAGATACAGTTCTTAAACGGTTTACAGAACAGAAAACTATTCAGAGAAAACAAGGAAGTGGTCGAAAAAAATGCACAGCAAATTCTAGAGCTCTCGATTGGTTGGAGACTGCATTGGAAGAACATCCTGATTGGTTTGATAGATTTCGAGCAAAAAAACTGAAGGTTTCCAATATTTTTGTACACAAATGGCGACAGAGACTCGGATATCAAAGTTTTAAAGTAGTTAAAATGCCAAATCGCAACGATAAACAAAATTCAACCGCAAAGAGTCGAGCTCGAAAGTTGTATGACAACTTGTTAACAAAACATAATGGATGTATTTTGATGGATGATAAAACTTATGTTAAAATGGATTTTAAACAAATTCCTGGGCACTAGCTACTATGCTTCTAAAATAAGAGGAAATGTAAGTGATAAATACATGTAATGACTGATAAATTTTTCGAAAAAATTGATGATTTGGCAGGCACTTTGCTCTTGCGGCAAAAAATCGCCAACTCATGTTTGTTTAGGTACAATGAAATCTTCGGAATACGTGAAATGTTGTCTTTCTTGCATAAAACGACAAATTAAAGCTCATAGAAGTAATTCAGTATTGTTTTGGCCTGATTTAGCCACAATATATTACTCAAAAGATGCTCAAAAGTTTTACAATGATGATGGAGCGATGTTGGTCCCGAAAAAGATGAATCTTCTAAACTGCCCCGAACTATGTCCTATTGAAAAATATTGGGCCATCATAAGAAAGAAATCAAAATTAATTGGAAAACAGTAAAATCAGCTGCAGATTTGAAGAAAAAATGATTACGCTGCTAAAACTTACAAAAATCACTCTGTCCAGAAACTTATGGGAGGCATCAAAAAGAAAGTCAGAATTTTTCTGTAAAACTTAATTTTTTTTTTGTTTTTTTCCTATAAATATGTAATCTTTACAATCTTAACTTTTCAGAAATATATTGATTTAAATACATTAAAGTTTTTTTACATCCTTTTTTGATCAAGAAAGGTGGGCAGATTTTTCCGATAGCATGCCTAATAAACTTTACTTGATATAAGATTTTACTTTTATTAATAAGTTAAAAATAAAGTAAAACTTATATTAAATGAACCTTTTCAGATGCCAGCATATCAGTATAACATTCCCAGTAATCCAAAAAAGTAATTTGTTCTGGAAAACATGCTACCTACATTTTAAAAAATTTTAAAAACAAATTTTATAAAATATTATTTTTTTAAAAAATAGCATTTAAATATCAAATTTAAAAATAGTTTAAGTATAAAAAAAAACTTTAAAAGCTCCCAAGCTAATTATGTAATTTTAAAAAATTACTTTTTTGATGTATGTTTTGTAAGACTTCTCAAGCAATGTGTTAACCTAAATATTAGAAGTAGTTTTATATTTAGTAATCAAATTAAAGAAAGTCTTAAAGTATTCAAAGTTACCTCATTGTAAACATAATCATCATGAAATATTCCATATAACAAGTGTATATAGTTCCAAGTTGCAAGACGAAACTTTGAAGTATCCACGTTAGTTATATGATCACCCATACTGAAAATAATTTACAATATAAAAATTATTAATTTACAAAATGTTTAGAATGAGTAAAAAAAAAATGAATCTTGTAGGCTAGGTAAACTAGATTGCTTATTCATAGTTTAAAAAGATAAAAAATGTTAAAACTTCTAGAGCATATAACCATAAGTAAGATATGCAAAGCTCCACCCCAACCATTTTAAATATTTTGTAATTTTGTTTAACTTGCTTTTCCAAGCAGCAGCCATCTTTTCAGCCAGATTTGTGTTTATAAGCAATAGGACTAAAAGAGCGATGTTAAATACTCTCAGCTCTCAGAATTAGAAAAAATGAGGTCATCAAAACTTTGTCAACCTTAAACTGTTTGAGGTTGGCATCAGGTTGGCAAAAAAAACTTGGCACAAAGGTTTTACCATAAAACATAGAAACGAGATTAGCGATCTATAGTGACCCAGATAAGTTAATGAGATGATACTAGGTGTAAAAATAGAGCGTATAAAGTGTTTACTAATAACATTTAAATTTAAATAATTTTTATTTTAGTGCAGAAAACTTTAAAATTTCAAAACTAGAGCATTAGTAATAATGTATACAAATATATTCACATATAAAGTTGTTTTACTTTTAAATCTTGGAATTGATGAACTAAATCTGACATTCAAGTCTTATTTTTGTCAAAATAGATGAAATTATTCCTACTATTCCTAAAATAAAAGTTGATCATTGAAAAACAAAACAAAGATCTTTAATTAAAGATGGTCTTCTTAAACTAGAAATTAAAAAATTAAGGAAAAATGATTTCACTGATCTCTGACTGCAAATCAAGATGTTAAACAGTTTAAAAATATTTATAAATTTTATTATTTTTTAGGTAAGTTTGTTTACAGTTTTATTTATAAATATAAAATTCTCCTAAAACTCTGCTCTACAGTTAATATTATTTGTTGTTATATAGATTAAATTTTTTCAGCTGGAACTTTGTTCCAATTTATAAAAGTTTAATTTTGTATGCAACTTTCTTGGCACATTAAATTCCTTTAGACAAACATTAAATGAGGTCACTGCATTGAGAAACAGGTTGACAACAGTATTTCCAGAGGCTTAGGGTAGATTTGAACCTTGAACCTCCTGTTTGTGAGCTGACCTTTGTTGACTACTTCTCTACTAGTGTATGTTATATATACTGTGTTGTGTATACTCCAGTTTTAGCAAAAAGTTTGTTCAACTCTTGAAACAATGGCAACTTAGTCTGGTTTATTTCTGGTCAACTTAATGTCTTAAAATGTCAGGTCAACTTAATGTCTGGAATGTGTGGTCAACTTAATGACTGGAAGAAGTTTTCTACTGACGTTGAGTTTAGTAATAATGCTGCAATATTAATTGGAATAAATTTTGTTTTATTGAAAAAAGTTCATTTTAAAAAACTTTACAACTTCAATTCTACATACATTTAATTTCAATTACAATTTTAAAACTTAATGAAAATAACAAAAATTTAAAATATAGTTTTTTTTTTAAAACTTCATTTCATATTTTCTATCTATTCAATAGAAACATGAAGAAACAAGTGTAACATAGAAACAAGTGTAACATAGAATAAATAAAAATACACACTGTATATGGACTTGGCGTGTGAGAGAGCTTGGTTTGGATATTAGCAGTTAATTTATTATATATAGATGAGCTTGACTCAGTATGTAGTCATATTGCTGCATTATTATTAATTATTTTTTTGTGATTTATGGTAAAAGAAATAAAAATTTCAAAATGTTATTGTGATTTGCTAACAAGATACAGGTAGGATTCAACTCTTGTTTCATTTGTATAGATTAGGCAAACACTGTTTAATAGTAATTGTTCATTTCCAATCAATATAAGGATCATTTCAAATCAATATTAGTACCAACAAAAAAAAAAGTTTTTAATTTTTTTTCCTATCAATTTTATTATCAAGCATTTTTGTATTTTGATGAAACTTTTGTTTTTTTATGACCTTAAAAACATTTAATGAGAAATGGCATTAGTTCCAAGCTTAAAAAAACAACTTAAAAAACAGGTTAAAAATATTTCATGCATAAATAATTTCAAAAAATATACTCTATAAAGACAAAACACAAACTTAGCTATCTTGAGCCAGTATAAATTTTTTCAATAAAAAGTAGGAGTTTTCATTTACAAAAAATAAATAAATAATAAAGCAAAGAGTACTTTGATTTTCTGCCCATACAACATAAATATCTATAGTGTGTGTGCATGCTTTATATTCTATTTTATTATACCATATTTAAAACATTAAAATTTAGATTGTATAAATAACTAACGTTCTGTATGTCAGGTTATGAGCACAAGAGAACTTCTTGTCAAGCAGATCACCAAATTCTGGATATAATCGATTAATGAATGAAAATCCATGCTCATCCCAACTGTAATCCTAAACAAATATTTACTTAACATGCGTTAGTTTGTGCTAAACAAATATTTACTTAACATGCATTTACTTAACATGCAGTACGCCCTAAACAAATAATTACTTTACTTTTGTGCTTTAAACTCAAATTTTAATTAATAATAAACATTTACTAATTAATTATTAACAATAATTATAAAATTAGGCATTACATTTAAAAAAAAAAAAAACATGCCTTGCTTGCCTCAAAATTTTAATTTAAAATTAAAAAAAAAAAAATATTAAAAATCATAAAATGAAAAAAATCAATTCAAAAATTAGACATCAAAATTTGAATTATTTTATTTACTATTATGTATAAATGTAACTTAAAAGCACCTCTATATAAAGCTATATTATATACAATAAGAAGCTTTATAAAATTTGTCAAGTTTGGCAATCTTGTATGGCTAAAATAAACTTGGTACAGAATTGCTAAGGTAAACTAACTAATTATAAAAAACTTTAAATACTTTTAGTTTGATGCAAACTAAAGAAGTCATTTATCAGCAGAAATAAAACTTCACATAAAAATAAATCATTAACTATTTTATCAAATATTGTATGAATTGAATGATTTTCACCGCCTTGACCTTTTCACCATCTTAACCTTTTCACCATCTTAACCTTTTCACCACCTTAACCTTTTCACCACCTTAACCTTTTCACCACCTTAACAAATAACTATTTTAATTCGAGATTAAATAATCTTATTTATGTCATTATGTAATTATTTTATAATTGTAAATTTTCATATTTTGTGGTGAAATGGATAAAACAAACACAAAAACAAAACAAAAAACAAAAAAAAATGATAAATAAAGTAGATATTAACATACATGTGCTCGGAAAACTTCAATACTTTTATCACGCTTTGCAAATTCTTGGTAAGTACTGTCATCACAATACCTTTTATGAAAACTGTTTGATGATTCTTTAACAACATCATAAGTGTCTTCATCAACTTAAAATAAATAAAAAAATTTTTTAATAAAAACAAACAATATTTAATAATACTATAAATGAATTTTTTTAATGAAAAAACAACCTTTTAATCTGCTTTAGAACTAATAATTTGTATAAACTTTTTTTTATAGTTTACTAAAAAAGTTACTAAAACTACTTATAAAAAGTCGCAAAACAAAAAACTTATTAACGCCTCAATTTTTAATTCTTTTTAATTTACTTTCTGTATTTTAATTTACTTTCTGGATATTAACTTTTTTGGACTTATGGAATTTACTAAACTACTCCTAAACTAATTTAAAAATTTAAAACATTGTAGAAATGATATCATGTGAAAATGTTTTAAATATTTTTATTTACAGTATAAAACATATTTTTTTAAATTACAATGTTTTGAAGAAGAAAATATTTTTGATACAGAAATTTCAAAATAAAATTTGATAAGGAAATTTCAAAAAAAAGTCTTTCAAAGCAGCAAAGAAGCAAACTTGCAGGTAAACTAGTAAATTTTAATAATAGTTGAAAAGAAAAATTATTATTATGATTATTATTATTATATTAAAATCAAGCATTATGATGCTGGTTTGATTGGGAATGATGTACGATTGCATGCTGCACTTGACCACACTTAAGATATTTTGTTGCAACAACTTGACCAGGGTTGTTAGACGTTTTGAGAACATTCAAGTTAAAGTATATTACCATGTATGTCCTATTACAATTTAATTTTAAACATGTGCCTAAAGAATTAACTTCATAGACTTTAATCTTTTCTAATCAAAAATTTTTAAAACAATTTTTATTTATTTTACAAAATTATCATTTTTGTTTACAACATAAATTTTAAATCTTTTTTTTAAGTTGTTTTAAATTTAAAAATTTTAAATTTATACACTTTATACATGGAAATTTATTTGTAAAAATTTAAAAAGTATGAACATTTTTAACTACTTTTTTGATTGATTTAATAAACAAAATAAAAAATCAAAGGTAGGTGGGCAAATTGACCAACATAGAATTAAGACTAAGTCATAGAATCAATGATTGACTGTATTGGCAGGTCAATTAAAAAATAATTTCTTCAGTGTTTTAATTTTTTTTTCATAACACTTTTAAAAACAAATTACTTTATGCTTTAAATGACATAACTTTAAATCAAATCATTACTTCTTTTTTTTTTTTTTTACAATGTTTTACGTTAAATAAATAATGCTCAAATTAACAGTTTGAAAAATAAAGGTTTGGTAACAAAGTTATATTAAATGTTTAATATTACATCCAACTTTTAACTTTTTAAATTTTTTATATGGTTTAATTAAACTTTTATAGACTTATTAAATAAATATTAGTTTTAATTTAAAAAGATTTAAGATTTTGTAATATATTTCCTTCTAATGCTTTACAAAACACAAAGAGTTAATTTAAATTTTTAACTTTATAACTAAGTTTGAACAATTGTTATTTTAAATAGAAACCATGTAGCAGTGGAAAGTGTAGCTGTGTAGCAGTGGAAAATATGAAACTTTAGCATGATATGGTTTAGGATGATATGAAAATGAATCTAGCATGGAAGTTAATTTTTAACACAAAAAATTAAATAATTGAAACTATTTAATACTAGAAGACCATTGTTTTATAAAACAATAGAAAAAATATATAAAATAAGAACTTAATTGGTAAGATTTTTTTTTTTTTTACAAAAAAATATTTTACTTTCTGATCATCAATATAATTATCTTTTTGTTTTAATGCTGATTTGTTAACAGTAATATCCAATAGGTTTTATCGTGCATTGGATAGATATGGAGAGGTTAAGGTTATCACTCTTGACATTTCTAAAGCCTTTGATAAAGTTTGGCATGCTGGGCTTTTCCATAAGTTCTCTTTTTATGGTGTATTGGGTAACACCTTTAAGATTATTGAATCCTTTCTTACCAATCGAAGTATAAAAGTTGTCCTCAATGGACAGCACTCTTCATCATATCCTGTACCTTCAGAGGTTCCTCAAAGTTATATCCTCAGCATTATACTCATTAATTTACGTTAACAATCTCCCAGAAATTCTTAAATCTATGATGGCATTGTTTGCTGATGATACTATCATTTATTCTTGTTTTGATAAGCCAACACTCTCCGATTGCTTGGAGGGGGCATTTGAGCTTGAATCTTACCTCTGCTACAGTATGGGGCTCTTAGTGGCTAGTGAACTTTAATTCAAATAAAACTCAATTTTTTAGCTAATTGTTATTAATTAGCTAATTGTTATCGTAATAATCTAGATCTTCCTATATTTATAAACAGTAATGTATTTGATAAGTCATCTACCCTTTGTCTTCTAAGATAAACTCTAACTCTAATCTTTCTTGGAAACCACATATCAAATTGATTGCAAAATTAGCATCTGCTAAGGTTGCATCTCTTTATCGTGCTCGCCACTTTACTCATGAATATATTCTTAATCTCTATAAACCTCAAATATGTCCTTGTATGGAATAATGTTGCCATATCTGGGGCCGATCTTCCAATGATGCTCTTACTCTTTTAGACAAGGTGCAAAAATGCATTGTAAACTTAGTTGGACCTCCAACCATTATCACATCGCCATAACATTGCTTCTCCATAAGCTTGCTTTATATGGTGTATATGGGAAAGTTTTTTAGATTATTAAATCATTTATTTCTAACCACTTTATTGAAATCATTTACAAAGGTCAAGACTCTTCTTCATTTAAAGTAACTTCTGGGGTACACTAAGGTATATCTTTGGTTCTCTTTTGTTTCTTAACTAGATTAATGATCTTCCTGATAACCTTACATCTTAAGTGGCTCTATTTGCTGATTACTCAACTTTATACTCCTGTCTTGACAAAAATCTCCACATTTTAATCAGGCAGCCGATCTTAAATCTAATCTCACTTCTGTAATAGCTTAGGGCTTGCAGTAGCTTGTGAACTTTAATCCAAAAAAAACTTAGTTATTTACTGCAAACAATTATTGCAATACTGTCAACATTCCTTTATTATTGAATAGGAACTCTCTCACTAAGTAATCTTCTTTATTGTTTACCTCTCATGGAAACCATATATACCATCTTTCACAAAGTTAGCTAGTGCTATGGTTGCTTCTCTTTATTGTGCTCACCATTTTCTTACTCCTAATTCTATTATCTACCTATACAAATCTCCTATTCGTCCATGTATGGAATACTATAGTTATATTTAGGCTGGCTCTTCTAACGATGCTCTTTTCTTTTAGTCAAGGTCCAAAAACGCATTGGAAACTTTCTTTTTTATACAAATAGGTCCTACTATCGTGGTCGCTGCCCAAAAGACCTATTATCTCTAGTTCCATCGATTAAAACTTATTCTTGGTTGACTCGTCATTCAGCAAAGTCACATCCTTTTACTGTATCTGTCCCTGCATGCTCTAAAAACCTTTATTTGTCTAGTATTTTCCCTGCACTTCAACTTTTTGAAACTTTCTCCCATCTTCATGTTTTCCATACTCATTTAACTCAATAACCTACAACTTTTCAAGTCTTCTGCCAACCATTTCCTTTAACTCTACTCTTTGTTTTCTAGTAACTTCTAACTTATTGTTGTTGCTTGCAGCCTAGTTGAGAGTGAATCAGAATTAAAAAAAAAAATGAAGAAAAACAAAATTCTAATTAAACTGGGCTGGGATTTTTCAGCACAGTCATTCTGTTTAGAGTGAAATAAACCTCATTTATAAAGTTTCTAACAAAGCCTATTTTCAAAAAAATAGACATGGTTTAAGAAAATAAAAAAAGTTGAACAAGCAAACTTTAAACATCAAAAACAAACTTCAAATCTCAAAAATAAAGTTTTTAAAAAGCTATAAACTATATAAATATTTCTTACAGAGCTTAAGTATCCATTATATAATTCTTTTTATGACAAAGAATATTTTGATGGGATTATTTACTCTTTGACATCTCCTAAATATTACATTAAAACTTCAAGTATCAAGTCAAGATCGAGTTTATTAAAAACATTAAATGCTAAAACAATTTTAAAATAAGTTAATGTCTCTAAAAGCCCATCTAACAATCAAAAGAAAAGTTTAAGACCAACAGTTTTTAAATAAAGTTTGGTATCTGTTATGGTTCAGTGTTAATTGCTGGCGATGCTTTTAATATCGCCTTAGATGCTCTCTCTAAAGTTCAGGGTTTGTTTATTATGAAATTTTTCTATGCAGATGATTTACACTTGATTACAGAGACAAAAGAAGAACAAATAATAAAATTTATTTGTGAAAAGATGAAATGTAACCAATGTAATAAAAGTAACCAAAAGAAATAAACATAAATAAGACGAAAGTTATTAACTCTTAAGTCAAGAATGAGCGAGCAGAAAAAACTACTACTTTGTCTACAAAGTGCAAAACCTTGCATTAACTTACATTGTGTACTAAGTCAAAAACCTTGCTTTAACTTACCTTGTGTACTAAATGGAAAAGGAATTAAAGAAAACTTGCTAACTTGCTTGTATTCAATGGTTTCACAAGAAAAAGAAAACTCTACAGTTTGTATTCAATGGTTTCACAAGACAAGTAGCGCTATTTATATATTATTAGTTCTGCTTTTGATGATAAAAAAAATGTACTTTTGGTAAGTGAAGTCAAAAAATTGATCAAAATAAATAGTGGTGGATAGTGTGCAAATAACTTTTTATTATCTTAGAGATCAAACTAGCTGGTGACACTAGTTTTGTAGTAGTAACCATTAGGTAAAGTTGATTCAGAGAAGATTTATGTGGTATGAGACATGTATGTAATCATCTGCATCTTTCTGTTGAGCATAAAGATGCAGATGATTCAACATGTAAAGAATTATAATTTACAGGACAATGTTGATGATCCAGATGATGATGATGATGATGATGATGATGATGATGATGATGATGATGATGATGATGATGATGATGATGATGATGATGATGATGATGATGACTGTTTTTAAATGGCTAATGATTGTCAAAACAAAATTTGCTTACATTCCTTGGTTTCAACTTCTTTGAATTGTCTGAGTTTTTCTTGTTGTTCATCTTCTTCACTTTGAGAAGAACTAATTTGTTCATCTATCACACTTTGAATCTTCTGCAACAACGCAGCAGTACTTCCACCATCATATGTAAATGAGTTAGCTTTTAATTTTGTTGGCGTAATGGTTTCAGTCCCAGAACTAGTTTCACTTACAGACATACTTCGAAGTGTACTTCCATTGTGCATATCAATTTCTGGAGCAACACCACATCCATACACAAATCCAGATAATGTTTGGAAATGAACTAATATAACAATTGCTTGAGCAAGTTCAGACTTTGACCAATTATCTTCTGAAACTTGATTATTTAATAAGATCTAGAAGAAAAAAATTCAAATAAGCAATTGTATTTAAACACTATTTAAATTGCTTGCTATATATATATATATATATATATATATATATATATATATATATATATATATATATATATATATATATATATATATATATATATATATATATATATATATATATATATATATATATATTACATACGAAATTGCAAATTTACCTACACATTAACTATTTACACTAAATTAAAACTATTCTTTTTACTATTAGATATTCAGTTTAAATTTTTTTAATATAGTAAAAAATTTGCGTTGATATTAAAAAAAAAAAAAAAAATTCAACATTAAATTACTTGGATATTATCAAACTTCTTTTAATTAAATGAAAATCTTTGCGGGCAAGCATATTTTTAAACAAATTAACATTAGCAGATAATTTGAATGTTAACTATTTGGGAGTTAAAATTAAAAAAATGTAATGATTTAAAATTATTATTTTAAAAAGAATACGAGTTTGTTAATTTTTAAGCTTTAAGTTATTTTTTTGTGTTTAGTTTCAACCATGATGAACTATTAATCAGACGAAAATTTAAATAAGGAAAAAGTAAAAATTTTAAATAAAATCATTGCATTTTTTTTTAATTTTTTAAACCATCTGAAAACACAATTTTTTAAACCATCTGAAACCACATGCAATTTCAGTCATATTAGATTCAAGAGTATAATCAGACATTTTGAACTTTACTTAGAGTTGATTGTAACGGTGAAGTTGATTATTTTTTAAGAAATAAAACATAAAGAATCTCTTTTATCAGACATTTTCAACTGTGTTTGCCTTTACTTAGAGTTGATTGTAAAGGTGAAGTTGATTATTTTTTAAGACAAAAAATTTCTTTTAGCACAAATCTTAAAATATGCATCCTTAAAACTTTTTATTGGAGTATGGAATAAAAAGTGAAGTGTGAATAAAATATTTATATTTCATAAATAAATGATTGCAAATTATATTTCAGTTGGTTTGTATTTTTTTTTTAATAAATTTTTATCGAAGAAATTACATTTATATTAAATTTGTTTTTGAGTAAAACTTGGTACGAGTTCAAACTCTAAATTTTTGAGAGGGGGAAGTGCAAGTAATCTAAGTATTAGGACCGCTTTTAAATAGCTTTTAAAAATAAATATATATTTTTACTTCAGAGATCACATTTGGAATGCATCTAACTAAAAAATTTTAATTAAAATTTTTTGTTAAATGCAGAAGAAATTTATTAAAAAACTAGAAAAAATAAACTCAAAAAAAAATGAAAAACTCTAAGCTGTAAAACAGCTATTTGAAATTATGCTTATAACCTAGAGGTTTGGAATGAATAATGTGTATTACATGCAGCAGCATTGTTTTTCAAGGTTGGTGTTTTGGAATTAAAAAGTTGAGAAAGGGTTGTAGCAACAATTAAAAAAAAGCAACCTCAGCTAAGGAGAAAATAAAATTTAAAAAATTTTTAAATCTTTTTTAATGTTTATAGATTACACTAGAGCTTGAAATCCTGTGCTATATTTTTAATCCTTGGATTTCAATATTAAATATATCTAGTTCCGGGATCCTAATATTCAATATAGGAATACCTGTGCTTAAACATTTTTACATGTGATTTTATTTTATAAAGAGGTCCAAAACTTTTTCAAATCAGACTTTATTAAAAACCTTTGAGATATTAAACTGCCTAACAAATAAGGATTATTACTAAGGCAGGACTCGAACTAAGTATACTGCAAAACTACATAACTACAACACTACATAATGTGAAAAGCAATCGCAAAACACGATTGCTTTTCACATTTTAGCGATTAATTTTTTCTTAAAAAAAATATTTTGGCAATTTTTTTTTTTTTTTTTTAATTTAGCATTTTTTTGGCCATTCTTAAAACTAATGTTTATCTAAGTTTTTTTTATTAGGACTCATAAAGTACGCCATGCTAAATTTATCTTTTGAATAAAAGCCCTTTTGAATTTGCCCTTTCGCGCAGAGATTTCTTTCAACGTAAAGCAATTTTGAATTTAAATTACTTTAAATCTGTGCGAAAGCCAATAATATTTTAATAGGTCATTAAAGCAATAAGTTTAAAAAGGAAAAGACGTTAAAGCAAATTTTTTCTTAATTCTTTTTTAACAAAATTTCCTATTAACAAAACAGCCTAGTTTTTTTTTGTTTTTTTTTAGACATTACACCAAACTAACTTATTATTAATAATTTAAATTTTTATTTTATTTGCAATTTTTTTTTAATAATTTTACTGCTTTAAGTATATTAAAATATGTATAAAACTTGTTTTTATTTTAAAAAACTTTTAATAGTTTATCATTGCTAATAGAAACCAGTAACATTTTTGCTTCAACGTTTTTCGCTTGAACAACCTTTAACCTTTTAAAGTTATTTTTACTTTGATTTACTGAATGAAAGTAAATCATATACTGAATGGATAAAGTAAATCACAATAAATAAACTTATAAACTAAATCAAAACAACCAGTTTAATTACTACAGTAAGTTAAAGTTACTCAAATATTAACTTATTAACTATATTAATTTACTTAATATACAGAAAGACTCACAAAATTTAGCCATACAAATGTTTCTATTTATATCTTATATGTTGTTAACACATAATATAAGCTTCTAAAAAATTGTTTTTGGAAATTTTTTTAAAAAGTAATCTATTTGATCAAAAGAATTTTATAAATAAAGTCTTCTAAAATTCTCTTATTCAAATATTTTTGCAATTACAAATTGAAATTTAAAAAATAAGAAAAAATTTTAAGAATTTAAACGTTCAATAATTATAAATTCAAATGCAGCGGCATCCGTAATACTCAGTGGCATACGGAGGGTCATTCCTGAAAATTAAATTTATTAGTATAGATTTAGAATATAGTGCAAATGAGGAAGAAAATTTTATTCAACTTTGTAAACATTTTGAATAGTAAATTTTTTTTGTTTCTTGAAAGTTTTTCAAGTAGATTAAAAAAAATAATAATAATTGTACTTCTGTTCAAGGAAAATTTTTTCTAAAAAAATATAATATAAGCATATACTTAACGAAAAAAATAAATAAAAAACTAATTGAATTATTGAATCAAATTTTTTTCTCACTTTTTGTTACATAACAATTTGAACAAAAAAATTGAATAAAAACATTTACTTAAAAACCATTTGAATGAAGTAATTATTTATACTTAAATTTTTAATGGTACGTTTATTATACTTAGATTAGTAATAGCAATAAATTATAAAAAACGTGGTATCTAACGTTTTTTAGCTTTGACCTTATTCGTTTGGACTAAGATTTGCATACTTATGCATTTATGTAATTTTGTTTTATTTTAAACACATTTTAAGTTATTAATTTTATAAAAACTTGACTTTATAACCCAACAACACGAACAGCTTCACAAAGTTGTTTTATAGTATTGTGAACTTGTTATATTATATTATAGCTTGTTATATTATATTATAGCTGTTATGTTATATTATAGCTTTTTACAATAACAATTCAATACTCTTCAAAAATAATATGTGTTTTATCATCAGCATGAACGTATTAAATAATTTTCTATAACTAATTAAAATGGTTTAAATATTGTAATATTTGCATTTTTACTTTTACTTTTTTAAAGACCATGTTAAAAAAAAACAATTACTAAAAGTATTATCGTAATAGTATTAAATAATTTACTTGCTCATTACATTTTAACTTGCTCATTACACTATAACTGGAACTTAAACTTTAAACAATAACTTAAGCTGTAAATTGTAACAGTAAACTATGTTATTTTAAACTCCACCAAACGAGAAAATTGCAAGTTAATATTTAAATATGACAGATAATATGTTTAAAAAAATAACTACGAACTAATGTAGAAAAAATACTATTTTATACTAACGCCCCCCCCCCCCTTCTCTTTACTGCAGTGGTAAAGGAGGTGGGGGGGGGGGTATTAGTATAAAATAAAACAAGATTACCCTTGTCAAAAAGTCCTTTAGGATCCAATAAGAATTTGGAACAAAAAAAATTTCAGATATAAACCCCTTTAAATTAAAACACATAAGTTAAAAAGTGCTTATAGTTATTAAAAATTTAAGACATAAAATAAATAAAGGGTTTTAAAAAAGTTTTTAGAGTTAATCTAGTTTTTAGAGTTAATCTATATATTTTATTTTATTTATATTATTTGGATTGATTTTTAACTTTTTTTTTTTTAATTTTCTTAATAAATTAAAAAATTTAAACTCATTTATACATATTTTTAATACCTTTAAACACATTTATACATATTTTTAAGCCAAAAAAGAAGTAAAAAATTGTTGTTTTTTGCACATTTTGCAATTTATTGCAAAACACCTGTACCTTTTTTACCTTAAAATTTAGGCAAGGTTGCAGAGGGGTACTAAAAAACAAACTATTATTTTAGAATAGCTCCTGTATACATTTTACTAAAATTATAAGTAATTTTTATATTACTATTATATCAGGCTTAGTCGGGAAGTAGGTGCGATCGCACTCAATTTCTGACCACGTATACAATATTTTGTTGTGACAGTTTGGTCAAAGCTCTTTAGTTGTTTTGAGAACATTTCCAAACAAAAAAAAAGTGCTAAGAAAGATTTAACTGGACCAATGAGAGACAATTACAAAAAAAAACTAAGAAAACAGGCTTGTACCCCATAATTTTATAAGTGGGGTCGTTTTTGAAAAAAAAGGCAGTTTAGAAAAGCAAACATATTTTGCTAAATTTTTATATCATAATTTGCGTAAAGCAAAGAGTAATTGGTAAAAAAAAGGACCCCCCTCCCTTGTACGTACATAGAAAGGTATATAATTTTTTAACGCAAAATAAAAACTTGACACAAAATGAACTACGTCAGAACTAATATTTTCTTAACTTTGCTTTTTCATAAATTTTTTTTATAAATTATGCAACATTTTAAATATAAAGTAACAACTTACTATTAATGATTGTTTAATAAA